CCATAAATTGTCAGGTACCCTCTCTTCTCAGTTGTCGACTAGGTGCCCAGGATTACAGGTACGTCGACAGTCGAAAAAACATTAGACTTGGCTGCAGAAAACTCCTCAAGTATTCATAGTTGGCATAACTTTCCGAAGACTAAAATAAACTTGATAGTCTATTTAAGATATTGTACTGATAACATGACTTTGTAGAAATTGAAAACGTCATTGTATATACCATATGAAGTGTAAAAAGTGCTAGTTATCAGCCAAATGGTTTTGTTGCGGAATCTTCCACTGCGTTTGGAATATCTCCGCGTCCGCTGGTTCAATAAACAATCAGGACTGTATCTTTCACTTTTTTCGCTTTATTTCGTTCGTTCATTCGTACATCACAATCGTTCTAAACGTTCTACTCAAAATTACAATGCTCACTAGTTTTATGGTTACCACAAGTAAACGCCTTAACTACGTATGTCCGGCCGCAAACCGAACTTGGCAAAGGCTCACTATTATTTCTTGCGATCTAACACATGAGCGTGATACCTATTTCCTTAACATATCCCACATTATCTACCTTAATTATTATTTACCGCGCATAAACCGATTACAATCAAAGCCACTAAGGTTGATAAAAACAAACCGAGTCAATTCTATTATTCGTCATAGGATGTGGTTACACGCCTAAGATAATTTTCTACTTGCAAGGCAAAATCAACTGTTCAACAATTACGAAAAATAATACTAATAACTTGTTATAACACTCTCCCCCCCTTGACTCGCCTACGAGTCAAGCATAAGGCGTGATTTCCACCGCGAATCTAGTGCCGCATTCCTGCGCGGAACGGTTCTTGTGGAATTTTCAACTGCTCGTACAGATCTTCTTGCGTCTCCCTCCCCCTGACTTTTAATTTCCAAGGGATATAGTTTTTGTACTGGCCTGGATAGGTGGGTTGGTTTCCCCTTTGTTACAACCCTTACCTTAGCGCCTCTGACAACATTGTCTGACCCCCTCACAAGGTTTTCAACTACTCCCACCCTCCATTCGCCTCTTTTCTTTTCTTCCTCGAGCACTAGAACAACGTCTCCCACTTCTGCTGTCCTACTTTCACTTTGCGCCTTACACCTATGAAATTCTCTCAGATTCGCTAAATATTCGTTTCGCCACCGGTTCCAAAAATGGTTTAATCGAGTGCTTAGATATTTAAACCTTTCAGAACATTGCGCCTCACTGACCACATCATCTGGTTCTATTATTTCATCCGGAAGTGATTTAATCCTTCGCCCATAGATCAAATGAGAAGGTGTCAACACTTCATCATCCACCTCGTTATATTCGTAGGTCAACGGCCTCGCATTTAGCGTACATTCTACTTCCACAAGCACTGTTAATAACTCTTCATAAGTTAATCTAGCATTTCCCAGTGTCTTTCGCAAACAGTCTTTCACACTCGCAACCATTCGCTCAAAAAATCCCCCCCACCAGGGTGCCCTTTCTAGATTGAACCTCCACTCTACCCTCATATGACCCAAATCTGATTGAACTTCTGGATGGTTTAGTAATTCGTTTAATGCTTTCTCAGTCGCTTGAAAGGTTTTTGCGTTGTCAGACACAATCAGCGCAGGCGTTCCATATCTCGCAGCGAATCGTCGCAAACAACGCCTAAACGCTGCGGCAGACAAATCTTCTACTAACTCTAAATGGATAGCTCTGGTCACGCAACACGAAAATAGTGCAATGTACACTTTTTCCATCCCTCCCGTCTTACTTTTCACGTATAAGGGCCCAGCAAAATCAACACCTACCCTCGAAAATGGCGGGGCTTCTCTGACCCTAAACTCTGGTAACGCGGCGGTTGGTGGCGAACTGTACGATTTCCCCTTCAGTTTTCTACAAGTAACACACTCGCTCAGTACCCTTTTCACTTCTTGTCTGCCCTTTGGCACCCAATATTTCGAACGCAATTGAGCTAATGTGGCTCTCACACCACTGTGGTGCACACCTTCATGGCTTTCTCGTATTATCAGTTTAGTCAAAGGGTGCCTTCTGGGTAAAATGAAGGGTCTTCTAGCGTCAAGATCCAAATCCGAATTTACAAGCCTACCCTCACACCTCAAAATTTCTCCTTGCTTTACAATCCCAAGTTTACTTACCAGTTGTTCGAAATTGCTCTGTTTCTTCAATTTGTCTTGGGCCGACTTAATTAATTCGAGCTCAGCTTCATTCAACTCTCTCACTTCTAACTTACTTGTTCGTCTAGTGCTTTCGTTTTGCCTTAAAGCGGCCTTCAAATTGTCAACGAATCGCCTCACCCAAGCGACGACACGCACCAGCTTATGCAACTTACTATAGTCACTCGGATTTATTACTGCTGCAACACCGACTTCGCTCCTTGTCTCGACCAACAATGCCGATGTGGGCTTCTTCTGTTCGAGCAGACTCTCAGGAGTTTGAAGCTGCTCAGTCGTAACTGGCCAATCTTCTCTCTTTTTTATCAGCCATTGTGGGCCAAGCCACCAAAGTTCATTTTCCTTAAGTTGGGAAGCTAGCGCCCCTCTGGAACCAAGATCTGCTGGATTCTCACCAGTCGGACAATACGCCCATTCCTCTTTGCTCGTCAGGCTGAGAATCTCGTTTACTCGGTGCCGCACGAACTGCTTCCATTCTCCCTTATTTTGAATCCAACTGAGGGCCGTTTTGCTGTCTAGCCAAAATCTCACGCCATCTATTTTTAGCTGTGACTGTAACGAATTGCGTATCGTGTTCATAAGTTGAGCCAGTATTCTCGCTGACATCAACTCCAACCGTGGAATTGAAAGCTCTTTTAAGGGGGCAACTCTCGTTTTGCTTGCCATTAACCTCACATGGGCCTGTCCATCGTCAGTACGGTACACGAAGTAAACCATCGCACAGTACGCTTTTTTACTCGCATCTCCAAACCCATGCAAAAAACACTCTGTCACGCACTCTTCTCTCGCCTCATACAAACATCTATTGACTTCTATTTCCCTCGTTTGCGACAAATTTTCGACCCATTTAGCCCATTTCCCTTTAATATCGTCCGTCAACGTTTCGTCCCAGTCAAACTTGCTACTACAAATTTCTTGAAAAAGAATCTTCATACTAACCGTCACTGGACTAATGAGCCCAAGTGGGTCAAATAAGCTGGCTAATAAGCTCGAAACATTTCGCTTGGTGGGTTCTAGACCTTCCGCCCTTTTAGCAATATGCGCAAGATCAAGGTGGAAGGTGTCTGCTTCACAGTTCCACTTAACACCCAGGACCTTTTCTCCCTTCGAGCCCCCTTGACATTCTAGCTTCGATTTCGCATAAGTTTCTTCATCTTCTAATCGTCCGACGATTTCCTCTTTTCTAGCGACCGTCTCCGTCGAACCGATTCTCCTCTTTAACTTCGGGTCGTTGGTTTTCCATTTTCGCAGTCTAAACCCTCCGTTTGCCATTCTGGCCCTCGCTTTGCTGTATAGATCGTGCGCCTTGTCAGTTGTGCTGTCACCCGAAACCAGATCGTCTACATAGAAACTGTCAACCATTTTCTTAACAAATTTAGGATCTGCTTCTGCGAAGGTCGCTAAATGATGCCTTATTGTTCCATTTAGCAGAAAAGGTGAAGCATTCAATCCAAAGACAACTCGACAAAATCGATACACGACAACATTTGAATTGCTGTCTCGTGCGTCATCCACCCACAGGAACCTCAAACAATCGCGGTCATTCACATCTACTGCTATATTTAAAAACGCCTTCTCAATGTCTCCGACAAGCGCGACCCTATTTTCTCTGAACCTAACAAGTATTTCAAAAAGTAAGGGGTTTAAAGATGGCCCGGTGTGTAGACAGTCGTTCAGGGATGTCCCATTTTTACCCTCTTTTGCTGAAGCGTCATACACTATCCTTAATTTTGTTGTCTCCGCATCTTTGCGAATGACAGCTTGATGTGGCAAATAATGGACCTTGCACGCCCCGTCCAAATCCGTTACCCTTTCAATGATCCCCGAACTTAATTGGTCTTTAATGATTGAGTCATACTCTTGTAGTACTTCCGGTTCCCTTTTCAATCTTTTGATTTGGCTCTTCATGCGTGACAAACTGTTTGCATAATTACTGGGAAGGGGGTTGTGACCCTGTTTCCAAGGCAACTTGACCGAATACCTCCCATCGATAAAACTGATATCGCTCTCAAACAATTCGTGTACCTCATCACTCGCTTTAATTCCTAAACTCTCCAAGTCCCACAATTTACCGACCGCCCCTTCTAAACTATCACCCACGGTCACCGCACCCTCATGCGCCACGAAATTTACAGTCACTTCTTGTCGCTCGCTATCTGATTTTTTCTTTTTCAGGGGGCCCGACAACACCCATCCAAGCTCAGTCTCTACGGCCACCGGTTCTTCTGGCTCCCCCCGTATTGTCCGCCCCTTTTGAAACTCCCACAAGTAATCCGATCCTATTAACAAATCTATTTCGAGCTCTTCTTTGTTTTTGCAAACATCTGAAAATTGTAAATTAAACGAGACTTACCTGTAAGGTGAAGTTTGATTGAGGTTCTACCAGGTCATCACAGCAGCAGAGATTACATGAGATAGCGCATGCGCATAGCTGGTCAATATTAAAAGCACTGAGTGTCCGTATGTAATAAAAAGAAGACCCAGTAGGCCCATAACAGGATATGGGCTGAGTATGAAACCAGGGAGGGTAACAACTGGGAGGGCATGTAATCTCTGCTGCTGTGATGACCTGGTAGAACCTCAATCAAACTTCACCTTACAGGTAAGTCTCGTTTAATTTACAATTCTACCAGGTCATCGCAGCAGAGATTCCATGAGATTTCAAAGCCATATGGACACGAAGACAAAATAAACAAGGAACACCTATAAAACACAACTGGTGTCCTAGTTTATTAACTGTAGTAGAAAAACCAAGACCTAGAAAGCTAGGCTTATACATTAATGCTGGTACCAAGAACAGCTTGGCCAAAACGAGAAACATTATCTTCAATAGGTTTGTTGTAAAACTTACGGAAAGTGCAATCTCCTTTCCAAGACGCTGCCTTAAGAATCACATCTATAGGCACCTGGCATGCATTTGCTTTGCTGGTAGAAGCAGCTCTGGTACTATGGGGTTTGAACACTTCCACATCAATACCAGCCTTGATCATAACATTCTTGATCCAACGTGAAATAGTGTCCCTAGACACGGCCTGGTAGGGTTTAACAAAACTAATAAAGAGTCTGGTTTCTCCACCTCTAAGGGGTGCAGTACACTTAATGTATTCTGAGAGAACTGAGTAAACGCAAACCCTGCCATCTGCTGGGAAGGCAGGAAGGATAAGCTCTGGTAGATTCCTGCCTGGAGCTGACTGCTTAACAATATCCTTAATAATAAATTTATAGTGGTCAGTATTTTTCTGCATACTAGTAATATCCATAAGATGGAAAGACTGACATCGCTGACCTGTAACCAGTGCTATTAACATAACTAGCTTATGGGTAAGCTCTTTAAGGCTTATGCTTTCCAGCGGTGGAAATGTTTGAAGGTATGTCAAAACGCTTGTGGGATCCCAGACCGACTGGTATCTAGGTATACTAGGCCTATTGTTAAATACAGCCTCAAAAAAAACGGTTAACTAATGGGTGAGAACCCACAGTTTTGTTATCATCTAGGTGGATAACAGATGATAGAGCACAACGAGCAGTATTCAGGCTACTGTAGCCGAGTCCACTATCAAACAGTTCAGTTAAGAAATCTATGACTTCTGATATAGCTGGTTGAATGGGATCAGTATTCCGTCCACTGCTGAATGTGGTCCACCGCTGTAAGTATGTTCGGTACTGTTTCTGGGTTCCTTCCCTCCAGGACTGCAGAATGAGCTCTTGAGCCCTCGCTGAAATGCCTTTATTTTGGAGACTTTCCTGATAAGTGACATGCCATCAGCAGCAGTTTTGCCCCCAATGGGTGTTCTTTCCCTGGGTTGAAGGGGAGGTGTACGATGTTGGGACGATTGGGAGTAGCACTGGGGTCTGCACCAGAAGTCTTGTTAATTTGGGAAACCAGGACTGTGTTGGCCAATGAGGGGCTATCATGATTGCTTCTGCTTGATCCTCCTCCACCTTTTGTAGAACTTGTGAAATTAAACTGAAGGGAGGAAAAACATAGTTATATTGTGTTCCCCAGTCTAATGTAAAAGCATCTACTCCAACAGCATTAGGATCAGGGATCCATGAAACATAACGAGACAGTTGATGGTTAAGTCTGGATGCGAATAAATCAAGGTCAGGTTTGCCAAATAAGGAAAAAATTTCTGACACCACTGGTTGGTCCAGTTTCCATTCTGTTTTGTCATTAAAACCCGGGAAGCAGAGTCTGCTTCGATATTCTCGACCCCAGGGATATGTGCAGGTGTGATCCAGATATCTCTGTCCTTGCACCAAAGCCATATGTCTCTGGAGATATCATTACAAGGGGTAGAATGGGATCCCCCCATGTTCCTCAGATATGATACAGTGGTGGTATTATCAGACAGAACTTTAATGTGGCAGTGATGTTCTGAAGGGCATAAAGCCTTGAGGCCCCAAAAAACAGCGAGGAGCTCTAGGGCATTAATATGCAGTTGAGCTTCTTCCGGGGACCACCTGCCACCTGTGGAAATCCCATCTGAAAAGGCTCCCCACCCTTGGGTAGAGGCATCTGTTTTGAGTTCTCTTGTGATTTTCCCATGACTAATCTTCCTTTTGCATGTTTTGGCATGGTTCATCCACCAGACTATGTCATTTTTTGCTGTTTCAGACAACATCATAGGACTTTCAAAATTCCAGTTGGAATTTTTTAGAGCAGTTGATTTTTCAATCTCAAGTTGTCTGTAAAAAAGTCTAGCATACTCTACACCGGGAAAAAAGATACCATAATGCCCACTAAACGAGCAACCAGTCTAACAGGAACAGATGTAGATTGCAATACCTGATGTGCTGAGGCAAGTAGCTTGCCAAAATTGTGATCTGTTATGCTAACAGACATGTCTAAGGAATTTAAAATAAAACCCAGATGTTCAAGGATCTGTGTAGGTTGGACAACTGATTTAGCCAAATTAGGGCAGAAACCCAAGTCCCCTAAAAGGGTTAAGGTATCCTGGACATTGGATGAGCAGGCCACACTAGTGTCTCCTTCTAAAAAGGAGTCGTCTAAATACCCACTAGAAACATGTCCTTTGAGTCGGAGGTATGCATACACAGGTTTGAGTAATTTGGTGAACACTCTGGGAGCACAGGCAAGGCCCTGCGCAAGGCAAGTAAACTGATAAAGCTTTCCTTTCCATAAAAACTTAAGATATTTTTGATGTGACCGGTCAACAGGTACAGAAAAATAAGCATCTGAAAGATCAATAGATGCCATAAAACACCCAGGTTTCATCAAGTGAACACAGGTTTCAATATTATCCATCTTAAAATGATGGTAAGCAATAAAGCGATTGAATTCTTTCAAATTCAGAATCATTCTGAAACTCCCATTTTTCTTAGCTCGAGAAAAACGGGGATATGAATTCGGTGGATTCATGTTGGGACTCAACAATGATACCCCTAGACAAAAAATTTTGAATCTGCTGATCTAAGGCCACTGCTGCCTCAGTATACAGAATGGTAGGTCTAACTCTACCTAGTTGAACAGGCTGTATGTCATAAAACTCAAGTTTGTAGCCCTGTACGATGGACAGAATAGTTCTGTCAGAGGTAATTTCTTGCCACTTGGCCAGAAAATTCTTAATTCTTCCACCAGTAATAAGGGTGGGTACAGAGCTTACCTGAGGTTGAGTCATGACTGTTTCACAGTCTGTTTCATTGTTTTCGTCTCGGTTTTGCGAGGTTCCTTCCTGTATGAGGGGTGATTGCTCCTCTGATAGCCTCTGCCATGGTTGCTGTACTGGTTGAAGGGGCGCTGGTTGCGCCCCCCTTGGCCCAAAAAAGACCGTGATGGCCCTTTATACTTCTGAGAACTTGGCTTGTTGGATCTTGTAAGCTGTTTGGCTGCTTTGTTACTTGGTTAGCCGCCGCTACAAGAAGAAGGGAATTCGATAGAGCTTCCCATAGGGTCTCTTTGGTTGGCATTGCAGCGCCTGAATCCAAAGATTCACCCACTTTTCCTGTCATGTCTGCAAGAGGAATAAGCCCTTTAATCAGGGTGTCTTGCAAAGCTTGAAGTCTAGCATCCATGCTTCGTGTTGGCTTTTTAGCGATGTCCCAAATCTCGGAATTGACACGAGTTTGGGCAAGTAATGTGCTGTTTGTGGGCCTATGAATGTTCTCTTTTCGCCGCTTAGTGGCTTGATCGTTAAGACCACTGGCGAGGATGTTGTTAAGAACGTTTGCGATTTTTTCCGAAATCGCTGGCCCCGTGACTTCGTCCTCGGTCACTTCGGTGACAAGTGAATCCACTTTGCCAGTAGTATCTGTCGTTTTGGAACGGGGTTGTTCGTCCGGTTGTGGCGTGATTCTGGGTCGCTTTGGCGGAGGCCCTTCCTCATTCTCGCTTTCAGCCAACGAAGGAGCGTCGACATCATCCACATCTTGCAATAGCCAGGCATCGTGAGACTCTTGTAAAGTTTTGACAACGGGCACCATGTCTTGCACGAGGCTTGTCAATAGGTCGAGTTTGTGGAGAAGCCTAGCTTCTCCCTCGCCTTCAGCAGAGTCAGCAGCCTGACTCGTGTTTGCGGCAGATGTGGATTGTTGTTTTGGAGATCGAGACGATCCTGTAAGCGTAGTTCCTTTGCTTGTCAAATTCGGCGAATTTGACTCGGTCAGTGACTCCTTGGTCACATCAAGGATTTCATCAAGTACGCCGGAACCCGGCGTAGGCATGTTTAGTGAATGAAAAAACACGGCAGTTATAAACTTTGCTCCGCAAAGATTGCCGATGTATGATAAATAAGAAATATATCTTTACGATGGTGAAGATAGACACCGGATTGTGATGGGCTAACAGACCAGCCTTGCCAAAATGGCGACGCAAGCACAAAATTGACCAGCTATGCGCATGCGCTATCTCATGGAATCTCTGCTGCGATGACCTGGTAGAACCACAGATCACGCAAATGAGGATAATCGTTCTTGACGACCTCTACGTGCTCGTTGCTTATGTGAGATATTTCCGGCACAACATAAGCTTCAAGCCTAAGTGAACGGTCGGCCTGTAGAGGCATTACGTCAAACTGGACGACTTCCCTCAAACCCGATTCCTTAACTGTTTGTCCGAATGTGTTAATAGTTACCCATTCTTTTCTTACAATTTCTAAACCATAATTACTCGCGGCCTTTGTTGTTACGAAAGACTTGTGACTTCCTGAGTCAAATAGAACTCTTACCCTCCCCGGTACATCCCCCTTAATTAAGGCTTGGGCAGTCTGAAGGGCAATTCTACTCTCTGTTCCCACAAGCAAACTACTCGGACTATTTACTAGTGGTTGACCACTATCCCCCGCTGGGGTTTGCTGTGATCCCAACTCACACAAACACGTGTTGTGAGATCCCTTACAATTCTTACATTGAACGGAAGCCTTACAATCTCGGGCACGATGGCCCTTGTTAATACACTTAAAACATCTACCAAACTTAATTAACAGTTTCTTACGTTCCTCCGTCTTCGTGACTTTCTTACAATCTTCCGGTAGGTGATTCTCCAGGCAGAATGCGCATCTTCGGTCTCCTTTTGCGGCGAACAGCGCACTGGAGGTGACAGGACCCTTTTTCGCCTCGTTTGATCTGTGCTGCGCCAGACAATGGTCCTCTCTCAGTTCCACTTCCACTAGGAGTGCCTCCAACGTGTCTCCTAATGTCCACTCCAGGTACTGTCTTCCTCGCGTAATCGTCAATCGGATGGTGTCGGGAATCTTTTCTAATAGTGTCGGCACGACGACTTCTGAGTAGCTTTGTTCATCCACTCCTAAGGCCTGTAACGCTCTGTACTTCGTTTCTGCGAAATCGTAGAGGCTGCGAAGTCTTGGCGTGTCACTCTCGTTGAACACGGGACGTGCATTCAACAGTTCGCTTATTAGTGCCCTCTGAATCGCGACCTTTTTGCCATAACGTTTCTTTAAGAGCTCTATGGCTGACTCGTAATTCGCTGATGTCAGCGCAAATCCTCCAATTGCCGATTTTTGCCGATCCCAGAAGTAAGCTCCTTAGATAGGAAAATTTGTCGACGTTCGAAAGCCCATCGTTCATATGTATGGCACTCTCAAACGAGTCCCAAAACTCCTGCCACTCGCAGAGTTTTCCGTTAAACTTTTTTACTTCTAGTTTCGGAAGCTTTGCTCGCACTGTCTTTTGTTGGCCACTTATCGGCTGGTAACCTTGGCTTGAATTTGCGTATTGAGGTGCCAATTGTGAAGCTGGCGGTGGAGGAGGTTGCTCTGTCAGTCGTTCTTCGATGGCAGCTAACACTTGTGTCGCGTCTGCCCTCAATAGGCCACTCCGTTCAATCTCGTCCGCCACTTCTTCCTCTGTTACTTTCTCGTCTGCCGCTAACTCGGCCAAAATCTCTTCGTCAAGCGGCACGATCTTTTGAAGCTGTTCTCCTAAACTAGCTTTCCATTTCAGCAGTTCTGCCTTTCTGACGGTTGAATATTCGTCATCTAAACGCTCGTTAGCCTCTTCAATGATTTTCGTGAGGAATCCACGATGGCCCGCTCTTACTTTCTTTTTAGACATTCTCTAATCCGGCTCGAAGGACCAGTTGTTGCGGAATCTTCCACTGCGTTTGGAATATCTCCGCGTCCGCTGGTTCAATAAACAATCAGGACTGTATCTTTCACTTTTTTCGCTTTATTTCGTTCGTTCATTCGTACATCACAATCGTTCTAAACGTTCTACTCAAAATTACAATGCTCACTAGTTTTATGGTTACCACAAGTAAACGCCTTAACTACGTATGTCCGGCCGCAAACCGAACTTGGCAAAGGCTCACTATCATTTCTTGCGATCTAACACATGAGCGTGATACCTATTTCCTTAACATATCCCACATTATCTACCTTAATTATTATTTACCGCGCATAAACCGATTACAATCAAAGCCACTAAGGTCTATAAAAACAAACCGAGTCAATTCTATTATTCGTCATAGGATGTGGTTACACGCCTAAGATAATTTTCTACTTGCAAGGCAAAATCAACTGTTCAACAATTACGAAAAATAATACTAATAACTTGTTATAACAGGTTTTGCTTTGAAAGAGCCAGATTGGGTGTCCAGTTTGGGTTTCTTTTTGGTAATCAGCACCTTATGCACTTCATATTGTATTACACTTCATATTGCATTTTTCTCTTTTAATCACATGCAACTAAACTTTCACACGCAACTCCCTATATAATAAACTCAAGGAACTAAAAAAAATACAAGAAGCCGTTAGTGGGGAGGAGCGTTGCGTGACGACACTAAAAACGGCTGTGTAGCAGACTACTTGAACTTGGGATTCCTATGCCTTCCTGTGAGAAGTCTGGAACTAGTTTACATCTGAACTGGCGGGAAGCTCAAGATGGCGGCTGGTGGTTGAAGAATGGAACCATTTATTCAGCTGACTTATGCCAAGAAATGTCCTAAACAGTTCTTACAGCCAGCAGAAACATCATTTATCGATAAAAGTTGTGTTAGCAAGCATTTTTGGCTAGATTTGTTGGAAGCGAAATGTCTTGGAGGTTCGTATCTTTGTTTTATATGTTGAACTCGTTCGGCACTAAAGTTTTCTACACTGCAGGAAGAGATTTAGGGCCGCTGTTTCTCCCTATCTTAATGGTGTTCTCTATCTAAGGGATCTCCGAAAGCTGCAAAATTACCTTTTCAAACTGTGTCGAGAGGTCGTTATAAACTGACAGCTATGTTTAATGTGCAAATGCTAAAACTTGTCATCCAGCCTCCGCCACTGGTTTTAATTTAGTGTAGTAACCTTAAAACTTGACGGCCATGGAACAGAATTTTGAACCATGAGCTTCCGTGAGAGGGGTTTTATTTTGGCTAATTGTGGTTGCGTTTGTGTACATTGTGATACATGCATATCTTGCTGTTGTATCCAGGTACAACATGTAAAAGAAAGTAAATACTTCGTAGTAGAAAAGGTAGACTCTAATATTGTTGCATCATCCTTTAAATATTATTATCAATGAGAACAAGATTGTTCTTGTTAAGATACTTCTCAGATGCTTAGATAATTTTGAAATTCGTGCTTTATAAAGCAAATTTACCCTTATTGTCAACGTGTTATAGCATGAGAATTTTTGTTCCCCTGAAACATTTTTTTTCATTTGAAGTGGTATATTCCATGAAAATAAGTGACCTTCATGTTCATGTACCACTATAGAGCTTCAAAGGTTTACATTTCAATAATTCTTTCAAATCTATGTTTTCATTCATCACCATTTAAGAATTTACTCTGCTAAAGAAATGACAATTTTTTTACTCTACCCTTCATTATGTACTGTAATAATATCAAGCATGAGACGCAGTGTTTCATCAACAGATGAAACACTGAGAAGAGAGTTGAAAATAGGATGCGCAGCGGATTATTTTTGACGAACTTCGACGTGTTTCATCTGGTGTTGAAACAGTGTGTCGAAAACTTGATATTACTCCTCAAACAAAATGATTTTAGAAGGAGAAATTAAGGATGCAAAAATAAGCAGTTTTTCATCTGATTTTCTAACACTCATTGAACATTAATTTCCTTTGTATTGTCTTGATGACTTATTAACGAGTTTGAGAAGCTTTTATCACTGAATTGCAAAGAATTCTATGTGTACATGTAATTGCCCCGGGTGAACCTGGGGTTATTTAATGCAATATATGTAGCTGTACATTAATTGTTTCTAGCACCTCCAATTTCCCCTATTAACCATCTACTACCTCTGGGAGAACAGATCACATTTAAGTAGAGGCTGTTTGACCTACAAGTCTTCTTAAAAGTGCCAAAGTTAGATTTTAGAATGTCTGGCAACTACAATGACGTTCTCGGCATTTCCTTTGAACCTCATAGAAAGATAGTGTAAGATCAACTTCCACGATCATTGGTTTTTTCACCTACACTGTAGGGGTATAATTTAATATTGTGTACTGTAAGAACCCAAACAAAGATTCGATAAATCAACCGAAGATATAGAAAACTGCATTATAGGATAGAACTGTGTTCTTTAATCAAAGCTGATGTCTGCAGCATTATTTTTGGTAAAAAGTTTTGTCATATGCTTCCTATTTGTGCACAGAAGTTCTCACAGAAGTTTTTTTCTTGTTTGTGAACATGCCTTATTCAGAGTTTTTTAACCCTCTACTGAGACAAGACACCTGTCTCTGGGAACAAGGCTGTGGTCTCTCATGAGGGTGGTACGTACATGTATGTTACAGGCCAAATTTTAATTCAGGTTGAAATTTTTTCGCCTACAATCGGCGACAAAATAGTTGAGGCATTGTACTCAATTAGGGTACAGAGAGTAACTATAGAGAGCAAAAGAATCCACACCCCTCCCCCTCCCCTTCATTCAAAGTTGTGGTGTTTGTTGTTTTCTATAGGTAGCTTGGGAAAAAAAGCTTTATTTTCCCCTCTGGAAGTCAGTAAAGAGTCAGAAAGCTCTTTTAGGGCAGTGTCTCGACTAATTTTGTGGCCAATTGTACAGCTGTAGGTTGGTTCTCAATTCCCTTTGTCTGTTAGCCCTAATTACACTGTTTTCATGAATTAGGGCTAGAAGACAAAGGAAATTGAGAATCAAACCAGATTAAAAACAAAAAATCAATCATAACCTGAATTTAATTTTGACCTTAGTGGTAGGTTATCATGCCATGTGCCAAGTGGTAGCTTGGGATGGGAGATGTTCATGGGTTGCTCCAAAAAGTGGAGAAATGATTCCTTCCAACTTCAACTGGGAAAACTCTTTTACTATATACATGTAGGTGGTGTACTGTTTGAGAAATGGTTGCTCATGAGGATCAAACTGTATTCATTTGTTAATAATACTGTCTTTCAGGGCTTGGTGAGATCAGTGAAAGTTTACTGAGAGATCGGAATCTAACACCAGCAGACTTTCTTGATGGACCATTAGAGACACTGAAATCTTCACAAGAGGATTGCGATGTCTATTGTGCAAGCCCCAGTCCTGTCAAATGTAATGAGTTCAAAACTCCTCTGACATCCAGATATAGCAACAAGGCTTCAGTGACTCCATCTTTGTTCTCTCAAGATGAATCTGTTCATCTTACCCCAGTCTTAAGTGAGTGCCTTGTTCAAAGCTTCTTATGCACAATGTAAAGTGTATTAATTAATGCAAAATTTTAATTAACAGATGTGTATTATTATTGATTATGGAGGTTATGCTCTTCTGGCCTGTTTGGGTGACCAGTGAAAATCCATGTTTTACCTCATCTTGTTGTCTTTGAATCATAACATGAATTATTTGTGAATGTGACAAAATAAATGCTTTGGAGTGTTAAAAAAGATGTAGATGTATAGTACATGTCATACTGCATATCTTGAGCATTGACTCTGGAAAGTACATTTAAGGTGATTCACTGGTTTTGCATTGCGCATCTCTTACTGCGCATAACAAGATGGCCGCCGTAAAAAAGAGCATATTTGAAGTAACCCTATTAAAATGAAGTTGACTGAAGAGAAACGCTTCTGGAATTTATGCTTGCGGTTGTTTCTTGCTGAGGTGAGACTCAATGTGCTGGGAATGGGCATAACGTAAGCAGTACGCGTGTTGCTGAGTTCGACTTCCTCACGGAGAACCTCGATAGTGGAGGTTAAACTTTTGCTTACTCACTTTGATTTCATTTAAACGCTTTTTATATCACCTTGTGTCCTAAACGAGCTATCTGGATGTAAATTCTGTAAAAACAGATTTTTTAATACTTTCTTTCCCATTTCACATATATGCCATTTTGAAATTTGCCCCAGTCCTCTCTCAAAAATGGGAGAAAATGCGTTTGGTGCACACTTTCTGCAGCTCTACCGCGAAAACGAGTATAGTGACCCCAATTTTTTATTTCATGATATTATTAAATAAGGACAGTTCTTCCTTTCGATGAGAAAAAAATTGGCACAAATCTATGTTGAGTTTTTTGGCAATTTTACTAAATTGTACGAATTGAGCTATCACGGGTCGAATAGCACGCATCCAATTTAATTCTACTTTGGAGTGTAAAGTAAAAACAAGGGCATTAAAAGGCATTTTTCTGGAACGTAAGCGGATAAGCAATACATTAAAGTCAAATTCCAAATTCTGTGCTTTACCGCATGCATCATTGAAAAAATCTCTCCTTTTTGTCTAGTTTTGGGGTGCGCGTGAAACTAGACAAAGGGTCCTGAATAGCCGTATTTGTCAGCATTGTGATGTGAAAATGAGCACGGTGACCCCCACTTTTTATTACTTTGTTATTATCTTCTTGACTTGTTACATCAGTGTACCAAGTTTGATCTACAGTCTATGTTAGGTTCTTTTACTAAGGAATCACCTTACAAGTATTAGGTCAAACAATGGTTTAAACTGTACATAATGTATTCGTTTTGTTTTTTTGAAAGGCTTAAAGTGTAATATACGAACACATTCACCACTTACTTTTGATGAAGACACAGAGTTGGTTCCTGGAAGTCCAGCAAGCCCTCTTGACACTCTTTCTAGACACTCCAGTGGCTGTGACTGGTCTAAAAGAAGAACAAAGACCCCTGACTTGTTAGCAGAAATAATGGTAAAATGATTATGGTTTTTGCTCAGTCATGGACTATGAGTGACCCCATATGAGCTGGGCTTTCATTAAGAAGCGGGAGCCAGGGATTTTCCTGGGCTACTATGAATGTGCCCGCCAGCCTTTTTCATAGGAAAATAGAGGAAACATAGCACTAAAAGAAATCCCTAGCTGTTTTATTCCTTGTCTACATGTACTTGTTGTATTTACATGGCAACTTAAGACAAAATCCATTAGGAAATTGAGTAATTTTAATTTTCATAGGACAAAAACCGTGTACCAGAATAATTTAAAGAATATCGCTTTCTTTTTTAGACTTTTCAAGGGCTATAGATATGATGAGTTATCTGTAATAACACCAAAGACAGTTTCTTATGGGATCCCGAGAAAATAAATGTCAAACTTCACAAGAATTGTGAAAACACAGGTAAAATTCTGAAAATTTCATGTATAAGATAAATGATTTGACATTTATTTTCTTGAGCTCCCATAAGAATTTTCTTTGGTGTTATTACAGATTACTAAGTACATCTATAGCCCTTGAAAAATATTTAAAAAAATGCAATATGCTATAAATTATTTTGGTACAAGATTTTTTCCTACTGAAAGTTAAAATTACTCAATTTCCTGGTGGATTCCGTCTTAAAATCTTAGTGACATTCCTGTATGAGTCGCTAGGAGGCAGTGTGGCCGAGTAGTTAGAGCATTGGACTTGCAATTCAGAGGCCCTGAGTTCAAGTCCTGCTCTGACCATTAGCTGGATTTGTTCACAGTAGTCTTGAGTTCAAATCCTCCGCCATGTTTGTAAATAGCCAGCTGGTTTGCCTCTGGCTAGGTGGAATTCTTTAACCTGTTAGCTTAATTGAAATTATTACATTTGTTTCAGGCATTTTCACGCCCCACTAGCATTAGTGCTATAAATTCTGCTGTGGTAAACAAAGGACATTATTTTTTTATTTTATTATTTTATGTTCAGTAATACCCTGTGTAGAACAACTTCTTTTTGTTAACCGAAAAAGGTTCTAATGATAATTATTAGAACCTTTTAAGTTATAAAGCTACAATATCATTATATTATTATTGATTATAATTGACAGTGCAGGCGATTCAAGCTTTTAGTCCTATAGTCTCTCTACTTTGCCCCCCTTCCTTTGAAATATCCAAATTTATTTAGTGTTTCCTCTCTAAAAAGCAGATTCCCTAAATTGCCACAATTTGATTTGTTACACTTAACAGTGACCACTGTGTAGACAACGAACCTTGTACTGAATTTATTAACGTTAACTTGCAGATTGCTAACTCTGTACATGTAAGTGGAATAGGACACTTCTAAAGCAGACTATCAAAAACGTCTCGGTTTCTAATAGGCACATGCCTAGTAACTTTTTACTGATAATCTTCCTTTTTATTTCCTCGCCACCTCTTATTGCCTTGATTCTTTTTGTAAAAATAATATTCGATTTTCGTTCATGACCAAATGGTGCGCTACGGATGGATATTCGGTTTCCGTGTTTTGCCTTATAGCACCTCAATACACTGTACGTTTCTTTTGTCGGAATTACAGTGCAAATGTAGTAAGCTGTATGTTTTACTATAACTATTAAGAAAATCCTCGTGCGCTTCTTAGTTGTCTAAGAGTTTACTGACAATAATCGAGCAACTCTTTGTGCGCTGATTGGTCGAGAGCTACGGTGTACGAGAGTATACATGTATACATGTAGACCACGGAAATGACACAACGACTGCGTAATCCGCTTGTTTATCTCTGCCTCCCGCCCGTGATTTTTCCAAGAAACTTCGCCAGAAATGGACGTTAAAACTGTCAATGTAGTGTTATAGTACAAAAAACAAATCGACAGTAATTTTTTAAGGTCTACATAGACCATAGAAATGCCATCAAAATGTTCAAAATTCATTTGGAACCGCGAACCGCAGGCGAGTGTTTTTACTACAAAATAGACAATAAAAAATTGTTGTTTATGGGTGAGGATCATTCCCTTAAGTGACCAACAGCAATTTCTCCCAATACATAACGCAGAGAAACGGTTGCTAGAATTAACAGGATGATAACTTAAGGGAAAATTCCCAGGCCCCGGTTGTTCAAACGTTGGATAGCGCTATCCACCGGATAAATTACATGTACTATCCAGCGGATAAGTATTGGGGAAACCAATTGCGCTATCCACTGGATAGAGACTTATTCGGTGGATAGCGCTGTCCAGCCTTTGAACATCCGAGGCCTGACCTTTTATCAGATTCTCTCCACAATTTCCTAAAAGAATCCTCAAAGGGACGAGCGCGACCAGCTCCAGTTATGGAGACGTCTGTTATTGAAGGAAAATTGAAAGTTGAGTGACGGCGGTGTTGCCCCAGACAGAACAATAATATCGTCTCTAAACTTTTTTTTTCAAATTGTATGATAGAATCACTTGTAAACAACAAAAAAACAAAACAAACAAACAAATAAACAGCAACAAACACAGTAACGAAAACACAAAACCTGTCATTTTCAACACGCGCACGCTTGTCAGGATGCGTGTTTTTTTTTTTCCAAAAGTGCGAGTATTGGTTTTCAGATTCATCTGAAGTTTTTAATCATTAGCACCGTGAGATCCGGATAATAAACATTATTACCTAGATATCTGTATCCCGAATTCTTTCCTTAAGTGGTAATTAAAAGATTTGATCCTTTATTCTCGGCGTGCATGAAAATGTGTACATATCGTATATATTTTAAGCTTCTTGTTACGTTCTTATCACGCCAATTACATGTGTAGACGTTCTTTTTGCCAGTCTTGAACGCTTCGATTGTGGTAAAACGAAATTTAAGGTGAAATCTGACCAACTGAAAATACTAAGTCGGGCAAATCATTTTGCATGTTATTGCGTCTACTTTTAAAGGAAACAATAATTATTATGAAGTCCTAAATAGGCATTGGCGCCATTTCACCTTTTGTGGTGCTTACATTCCGCGCTAATACTGCGGTCGAATTTTTAAGGTTTATTCTTATTTATTTGTTTTCGAGGGGGCTGTGAGAATAATTTGTTATAATTAAAACTCGCGTGAAGGAAAATGTTATCGGTAGTAATAATAATGATATTATATATAAAAAAATCAGTGACACAATTTAATATTTTCCTGCATTTCAATTATTTTGTGACATTTTATTTTGGAATTCTTCTCATTTTTTGCTAGGAATAATTGAAAAATGAATGCTGTATGACTCTTTAAAGAGACATGAGGTTATTAAACTTATGTCCCTTTGACTGAAGTCAATGTATTTTTACATAATCTTTAGTTGCTCTGTAGATCTGTAATGGTCATTTTTATGCTCTGTTTATGCATAACGTCTCAGCTTTTCAGTAGTCAATAATATTGCTTTTTTTATTGGCAAAGACTTACCTAGATGACAACCGCTTTGCACTGAGCTAGCTTACATTAAAAGCGTAAGTTCTGCAGCGGAAAAGAAAAAAAAAAAAAAAAAAAGAAAGTTCATATAAGAAACAGCAGGAGTGTACGGGATAAGTTTGCGTTGTCTCGGTTAATTCTCGAGTATCTGTTACCTTGGAAATTCGTTCTTGCAAGAAAGAAGTAATGTTCCGCTTGATTTCTTTCTTCCAGGGGCAGAGGAGAAGTTCACTTTATTGCCTTCTAGCGGGAAGTGAAGATGACGAACCTGCGGAGTGGTCGGATTCAATGGCAACCCCACCACTGAAGATCGTATCACCATCAACAGCTGCGGGTAGGCGAGTCTGCTTTGAAGTTTTAATGATCCCTGATATAAATTCAACTCGCCATTAACCGGAGACTAAACTTTGAAAAACATCAATAGCCAACAGTACGGAGACAATACTTCTATGAACAGTTACGCTTAGTTTGCTTATCTGTGATTTGCGAACCATTTGTTCATTATCATTGAAGTAATTCCCCAAAGAGCGAGCTCGGTTTTTCGCACGAACTGGTGAAGTAAGAATTTAACATTTTCTGTAGATCTCATCGACGGGTTATGTAGCAGACCTTTTTACCCCTGTTGTGATAATTACTTTCTTAGAGCTTTAGCATAACTTTAAAGTGAAATGGAGTATTTTGTTTCCTCGAGGAGTTCGCTTTCAACTGAGAGATTATAAATAATAAATAAGTTAGCGAAAAAAACGGGCGATGTAGCAACGTATTTTTTTTTTTGTATGAGCGTTAAGAGGAAAACGAGAAAGACACATTTCTACCATCTATTAATTCTGAAAGGATATTAGCTTATCTTTTCCTTCTCTTGTCAGATTATTGACCAATCATTTATTAACTTGGGACTTGGCTTAATTTGTAAATGTTAAGGTTTCTTGCAAGAAAACCCCGAGGCGGTTATGTGTTGTGTGCCATATATTATTCATGTTGTTTGGACGAAGCTTTTAGCGGCTTTCTAGAGCAGGGCGAAAAGCATATTTTATTTAGTTCTGTTTTGAAATTACATGCCTAATGTTAATTTATGATAAGAAGCGCTAATTCTCATTTTTATTTTCACCGAAGATTGAGGATTCTCAACGGTTTACACAACGTTTTTGACCTAAAACTCACTGTTAGTTTTAGAAGGAGTCAGACCTTGACTGAATAACATCTCTACGAATTGAATAATATAATTGGGTTAAACACTTTTTTTTGTCCATTGGACGGTGATTTAACCGGTTGATACCTCTCCATCTTTCCAACCTTTTGTCAGGATTTCCTCCCTTTAGCTCGTAACCAGATTCTCCACGTGTGCAAAAAAAGTGGTATTGGAGAGAGTTAAACTTGAAAATTTCCCTATCTTCCCCTTCAATTGTCATCTGTCAAAATGTCATAGACGCAGTCATATGTCGTGTTTTGAAATCCTAAGAAGACTTTTAAGTGATAACAATCTTGTACAGCACTGAAACATCAACCAATAACTGCTTCTCAACCATCAGCTTTAATTTATTTTAATGGATAAATTTTAAAATTCTATCCATTCTGACACAGCCATTAGTAAATAGGCCAGAAATTCAGAGGAACCAAGCTGCAAATAACAATCGGTCATCGCGGACATGTTCGACTAAAATTCCGTTGGCCAATGACGAAATCATGACTGAGGTTAGTCGTGGTCGGACATTAAGTCTGAACAGAATTAATACCAATAACTATTACCTTGCCGCAGACGTGCAAACTCTACCTAGAGATACTAAGGGAATAATATTAAAGAAGTGAATGTACAGCTGCAATCAGTAATCACCCTTCAATCACGCATGTCTCATGCCCATTTTTTCGTTAAAGACGCGTAATGCGTCCTTGTTCGAGCCCGACCGCATTTTTTGTCCGAACAAAAAAGCATCGCTTAGTCGGACATATATCCTTTGAAGAAAGAAAAAATAAATATATTTGCAGAATTGGAACTTTATTTAGACGCTTTTGGCTGAACTTATTGCGTAATTAGTGTAATCTTTTATATGGAATTAACCTACAATGTAAGAAATCGCTTCTTTAGGTATAATTGCCTCTCTTCATCTGAAATAATAGCTAACAAGCATTTTCCGCCCGGTTCAGATATCATACTTCACATGAGCCGAATCGAATTCAAATTTTGGCCCCTTCAAATTAATTTATCCTGCTGAATTGATTAAGTGGCCGACATTTATACAAGCCGAACTAAACTGAAAAAGAGAAAAAACGAAAGGCGCATTTCAGTAAACTACATTAAAAATTTGCTGCATTTGGTTCTGTTCAGTCATTTGATGTTCAGTGTCTCAATCAACGCTGGTCAACAGCCGTTTTTACCAGCTGAGCCAGCCGTGAAGAACGACTGAGCCGATGCAAATTCTATTAGCCGTTTCCGAATCGATTCGGATGCTGTACTTCTCGTGATCGTAATTCATTGAATTCGATTAGGCTCATGTGATTATTAAATCCCCTTCTGCATCGATGTTCTGAAATACGATCGCTTGCGTGAACGCTCTCCCAACAGTGGCAACAAGCATGATCCGGTAGAATCTTTAACAGGAGGCTCGAACCTTAACCTTTCATAGCACAAATAAGGGCGCAAGAGAGCACGGTACCATTCAAACAATACTGACATTCGAAGTTTAGTTTAGAGTACGATTTTCTCTCAGTCTCTTCGATTAGAGAAAGTTCGAAGAGTGAGTAGATTACACAATATTATAAACGATGCCTAGAATTTGCCAGAAACGCAGCTCGTGTCCTCGTGAGAGGTGATTTCCTGCACGTTTCCGTGTATTTCACTTATTTTCGCTTGTTAGAGACAAGGAAAACAAACAAAAACTCGTTTGCCAGATATCTGGCTCTTAGTGTTAATACGTAAGCTTACTGTCTTTTTAAAGGTTTTCCTTTCATGCATTTGGGGAGGATTGGGTTCAAGATTAGGCCCGAATTGACTATCATCAAAAATCTCCTCCGATATTCAATATAGATTCCCAAATGGTCGTTGAACTGTAGCAAAAAGTCCGTTAATTTATAAAGTGCAGTTTGTTTTCATTAGCGGGTTCTGCTCTTGCAGTTGATGACAAAAAAAGTTCTTAACGATTGTGCCGTTGGCGTTGTTAAATTCTATATTAGGAACATGTTTGTCGACCATACATGTACCTTTGAGATATTTTACGCGGCACGTATTAATTTAGTTGTCTCTGTTGAAAACGTTTTGAACTGAGCACTGTTTTTTAAAAATTTATTATATTTCCGGCGCGTTCTGTCCAATTACTCAAGCATTCAGTCATTACCTTTTATTTCCTTTCTTTTCCCCTTTTCCCGAAGATGATGTTGTGTCTAGGGTTAAAAAGTAATTGCGTTTCAATTTTCCATTTCTCAAATCTTTTTGGCATCTAAGTTTAATTATTTCAACTCGTACCTCTCTGCTTGTGATTGACATGAGCTTAATTTGGACTAAGATTAAAAATCGCCTCGCACATTTCAAAGGTACAATCAATCTTTTTTCGCTCACAGTTTTAAAGAAGCTGTGTCGCGAATATAGTCATAATCTAAACAGTGGAAACTGCCACCAAATTGAGTGAAACATTAAAATAACCGCTCCAAACGTTAAAAGAAGGTATGAATAACACAGGAAATAAAAAAGGAGGCACTGATGGACAAACTTGTAGAAGAAAATTGAAAAGGACTGCAATTGTGGTTTTTGAAAACTTGCTTGCCAAACAGTTTTTCCGGCAAAGTTCATTTCTGCCGTTTGTAATGACTGAAATAATGTTTGGGAAACATATCTGCTTGACACAAAGTTGTATTTTGTTATTCACAAGTGATTTCTGAAGTTTCAAAGTGAATAAGGACGTGAAGTTGGTATTTTAAGCAAAATGAACAAGCCATCCGTGACATCGCCCCTTTAACCCTGTGTAGCAAGCTTGCAAAATGACACCTATAAATGGTACGGGATGTTTTATGTCCCGAAAACCCACACTCCACGATTACGGTGTTTTCATTTATAGGAGAAAGAAAAAACTTGCAAAATGCACAACCTCATCACGCCCTTTTACTTGCACTTGTAGAGGAACCCGATGGTCAAAAAAATGCTGATGAAGAAACAACCACACAGGAAGGGCAACCCACGTCTAAGGTGAGCTGAAACATATTTTTCTTATGTTGGAATTCTTTCCCATGTAAGATCTCTCGATCATTTTATGTTAGACGTGGAGGAAGAAAAAAATACCAGTAACTGTCTTATTACAGCTCCAACTGTCTCATTACTTTGGCATGACTCATACTGTCCTATCATTCTCTCGTATTAATGTTGATATCAGATGCCGATAACCAATCAGATATCACACGAGAATGCATTTTGCCCTTTATGTTTGAAGGAAGAAAAATAGCTTCGCTCTTTATGTTTGAAGGAAAAAAAATAACTTCTTTTTATTAGGCAGAAGTTATATAGAGACCAAGGCCTGCAGACAGCCCATCTCACTCTACATGTACCTTAAGTACAGAATTCCATGTGGCAATTTGACAAACCATTAAAATTCCAATATTATTTTGTAAGTTTGTTCGAGCGGAAAGGGCGGTTTTAAAACTCGAGCCTACCCAAGAGTTGTAATTTTTGCTGAAGAAATCACATGACTGCTCTGAAACTCCAGGGTAAACTGTTTTGTTAAGAATACTTAGAGGCGTTAAAATCGAGGTTTTCGAAACCTCGATTGTACAGTACATTAGGTACTGCATATGCACATATGCCTTTATATGTAAATATTAACGGAGTTGATATTTACATATAAAGAAACACCATCTGCACACAGTCATAGCTGTGGCCTGGAATAAATAGCGGTCATAAATAAAAGAGAGAAAAAAGTGAAACGCAGAATGAAATAGAATGGATATTTCTTTTTGCAGTGTATTGCCCGAGCTCTTTTCTCTAGTATCAGCATAAATCAATCAGTAGAACCACTGGAGACGTCCTTAGATGCCACCGTTAAAGACAACCAGTCGTTAAATCCTCACGATGCAGCGGGTAACTTTTTTGGTACGGTTCAAAAAGGAAAGGTAGCGAATGACTCATCTACAATTCAGGAATACTTGCTTGAGTATTCAAGTCGAGACGAGTCAACTTACCTGGATCCTGAAATCTCTCAAAACCTTGCTGACAAGTCTTTGGTGGCTTCACCACTCGTGAAAAAACGTTGTCGGTCTGACACAGACTTTGATGCTGGATCACCTGTTAATCAACGCCCATTACAATCGCCACGTTCAAAAGGCCTTCTCTCACCCTCCACACGGGCTGCCCTTTCGATTCTCGCCCAATCCACACCCAAACCCAGCATTTCAAACACTACCAGATCTGATGCAATGAATGATGACTTGAATCTGCCACGTGACACGCACCTGTTAGCTGAGTCGTCCAGCCTGTCCTGTCTGAAGGAGCAAGTCCAGGGTGAGTGTGATGTCACTTCTCGGTCAGCAGAGGCACGCTGCAGTCTTGACACCTCAGATTTATCTTTTGGATCCCCGTCAAGGTCTTTTGAAGCAGCTATGGCTCGTGAGACAGACAAGATTTGTGGTGGAGAGGAGAGAAATTCGCGATCTTCTGGACGAGGTAGTTGTGCAATACCTTTTTTTGTTCTAAAAAGGCTTCTATCAGTGCGTTTAGAATGGCGAACACTTAACATTAAATAATGGGTAATAATTAACTGAATAATAGTAAAAAAAAAAAACAAAAACTCCAGTCGAATTTATCATTCATATTCTGAACGGAAAACGTAATGTAAACCTTCGTATACGGCAGTAAGTTACATTGAAGTTTTGACATATTAGGACACCTCAAAGTTCGAGCTGTTCTATGCCACACAGAGAATCGTGGAGGCCGTGACCTTACTTGCCAGCTGGGTCCTTCATGGAAACAAAAATGAGATATACTTTTGGCCGTTCCACTCCATTTATCTCTCCCAACGTAGCTCTGACTTCAGTTTGTATTGTCTTCCCAGGGTCCTCACTGTCGCCAATCACGAACAACCATTCGTTTCATACTGACGTTGCCTTTAACAAGACTGCAAGAGATGAACTTACAGAACACCCTGAAAGCCGACCAATTGCCACAGGAGGCGACTCGGCAATACTAAGGAATGAAACTAATGATTTTGCAGCGGGAACAGTAATGGACCAAGGGATTGAAGCTAAAGGATGTACAATTGAACACGTCCGTGAAGCCTTGTCTAGAAACCGAATCAATCCGACTGCTGAGACCGCCACGCCTCGATCATCCGCAAGTGATTCCTGTAAACGTTTCAGAAGTTCTTCGTGCATAGCTTCTGGGTTAAGGCGATCCAGCAGACCAAAACGGTTCTTGTACCCAACTTCAAGCCACGTAACGAAATCAGACGAAGGGAAGCGTTCCAGGGAAACTACCGTAGCTGTTGACAGCTTGTCATCTGCGAGAAAAGATAAGGCAACTGCAATAGAGAAACCCTTTCAGGAAAGAGTCAACGATGGAACAGACAACGGTGCTACCGATGAAAAAACAGTAACGAAAAAACTTAAAGTTGACGAGATTTGCGAGCCTGACAGATATACCGCCGTTGTGCCTTCTGTCAATGACGCTGGTAAAGACAGTGATAAAGAGACAGAATCGACCATGAGTGAAGCAAAGACATCTTTAACATTTGAGGTTTATGAACGTAATGGAACAAGTAAAACCGATGATGTTCTTTTCGATATGGACGCACTGAGCCAGTTCCCAGTAGAAACTCTATTGTCACCTCCTCATGCAAATTGTGCTAAAGATAGCTTGAATGTCTTGAGTTGCTCATCCCCTAAGCCTGAAATGAATGTTACCTATACGATTGAAAGCACGGAGAGAGGTTCTAGTATTGGAAAGAGGGATCTAAGTTTTCATAGCAGTGAAAGAGACAAATGCGTCTCAGACTCTCTGATCGAATTTACTCATGCGAAGGCATGGGGAATGGCGCCTGTAAACAGAGAAAGCGAAAGAGAGCATTCAGTCACCTCATTACGCGAGCAAACACCATTTGTAAACAGTGAGCATTCTTGCTACCGAGGGAATGGACTCGTAGAATGTGAATTGCAGCAACTTGGAGCGGGCGAAGAAATCAGTTCTTACATCAAGAAGCAAACGTCATCATCGGTCCCTGCGGAGTTTCTTGGCTTTTCAACGGCTAGCGGTAAACAGGTCCATGTCTCTGAAGCCGCATTCAGAAAGGCGAGGAAAACATTACTAGAAATCGGTACTGAGTTAAATCTAAACCGCAGTGTTCCAACTACAAAAGGGGTCGAATCTTGCGACGGCAGAGCTACAAACAAACAAAGGACCTCAGAGAGGGACGGTGATGGCACTCTCCCTGATTGCCAGAAATTGCCTTTTAAAGGGGCGGGAAATATTGTGGCGACCACATCAACGATCACTTTGGATGGCATGAAGAAACGAAAGCGCGAGGAATTGCCATGTGTTGTCCTTTGTACTGCTTCAGCCATTGCAAATGAAAACGATGACTTGCAAAACGTTGACGAGGTTAAAACTAAACAAACCGATGACTATAATGACTCGCTACTTGAGGACTTACTGAATGACTGCAAGCGAAAGCGGCGAGATTCCTTAAAGACGGTAACAGAAGAAAACCAAAGAATTAAAATGGTCGCTGAGGTAAAAAACCCTACTCCTGATTCCAACGGTCCACAATTTTTGAGAGGAAGCATTGGAGGTCATGACGGTTTTAACACTCAATGCCCTAAGTCAGCCCCTATATCAGAGGCAGCCGTATTTAACAGTACAACTTTAGTAACTGATAATAATCTGAGTAGCGAAGGTCAAAGCTCAGGTGGGTTTCTTAATATTCCAATCACAGCCGTTAAAACTAAAAAGAATTCTTTATTTGCTGGTAAGTGCAAGAATGAGGACAACATTTGTGAAATGCATTTGAAAGACTCGTCAGAGGAAAACTGTGATAAAGTGAGGGAGACGTCTTCATTGGTTTCAAACGTAGGTCGCTTTCACTCCGCTAGCGAAAATAATATTAATAATGGTATTCCTGCTCTCCAAACTGCCTCCGAAAAGAACTTACAGCTGGCTGAAGAAGCCTTAAATAAAGTAGCAAGTATAATGCATCAGGTTGACAGTTGTGATGAACGAAATGTTTGGAATGATGAGGAAAATGGAGACCCTTTATCATTAGAAAAAGCAACGTTTCCTACACGCCAAGAGTTATCAGAGCAGGGAAATGCGAAAAAGAAAGAAAATATAATTAAATTTGGAGGTTTTCAAACAGCCTCTGGGAAGAAGTTAATGCTGTCATCGGAAGCACTGCAGAAAGGGGTTGAAATAATGCAACAGATAGACAAATCCCTCCAAACTCCCGAAAAGGAAGACAGTAAATTGTCCAGTGAGTCAATGAATAACAGAGCGAAGACAACGCAAGGTACTGAAACATGTCTTGAAGGAGGGAAAAGAATTAGTGCTTCATATCATCCCATTTCAACTGCTATGGATGATGAATTTTCTAAGGAAGAAAATGCCACAAGTATTTCTGGCTTTCAAACTGCAAGTGGAAAGAGGGTTACATTGTCAAACGAAGCCCTACAGAAGACTGTATCGATTATGAAGCAGATAGAAAAATCTCCCACGAAAGGCAACTGTGCCCCTTATTCAAAGCGTACCGGTGGTTTTTCGGGCTTCCAGACCGCCAGTGGTATCAGCGGTATAATGGCAAGAGAGGCGATGGAAAAATGGGAGATGATTATGCAGGAGATTGCAAAATCTTTTGATGAAAGCAAGTTCCATACAACATCTTGTCAAAGTGGTAAAACAAGTTTTGCTGGCTTTCAAACAGCAAGTGGGCAAAGAGTTACATTTTCTAAAGAAGCACTCGAGAAAGGCACAGTAATAATGCAGCAGACTGACAGATCTCTTGCAGAGAGCAAGGACGATAATGCATCTTGGCAAAGAAGTAAAACAGGTTTCTCTGGCTTTCAAACGGCAAGTGGGCAAAAAGTTACATTTTCGGAAGAAGCACTTAAGAAAGGCACAGCAATAATGCAGCAGATTGACAGATCTCTTGCAGAAAGCAAGGAGAATACCGCATGTTGGCAAAGCAGTAATACAGGTTTCTCTGGCTTTCAAACGGCAAGTGGGCAGAAAGTTACATTGACGGAAGAAGCACTTGAGAAAGGTACAGCAATAATGCAGCAGATTGACAGATCTCTTGCAGAAAGCAAGGAGAATACCGCATGTTGGCAAAGCAGTAATACAGGTTTCTCTGGCTTTCAAACGGCAAGTGGGCAGAAAATTGCATTGACGGAAGAAACACTTGACAAAGGTACAGCAATAATACAGCAGACTGACAAATCTCTTGAAGAAAGCAAGGTCAATATCGCCTCTTGTCAAAGGAGTAAAGCAAGTTTCTCTGGCTTTCAAACGGCTAGTGGGCAAAAAGTTACATTTTCTAAAGAAGCACTTGAGAAAGGGACAGCAATAATGCAGCAGATTGTCAAATCTCTTGAAGAAAGCAAGGCCAATCCCACATCTTGTCAAAGGACTAAAACAAGTTTCTCTGGCTTTCAAACGGCAAGTGGACAAAGAGTTACATTCTCGGAAAAAGCACTTGAGAAAGGGACAGCAATAATGCAGCAAATTGACAAATCTCTTGAAGAAAGCAAGGCCAATACCGCGTCTTGTCAAAGGAATAAAACAAGTTTCTCTGGCTTTCAAACGACAAGTGGGCAAAAAGTTATATTTTCTAAAGAATTACTTGAGAAAGGTACAGCAATAATACAGCAGATTGTCAAATCTCTTGAAGAAAGCAAGACCAATCCCACATCTTGTCAAAGGACTAAAACAAGTTTCTCTGGCTTTCAAACGGCAAGTGGACAAAGAGTTACATTCTCGGAAAAAGCACTTGAGAAAGGGACAGCAATAATGCAGCAAATTGACAAATCTCTTGAAGAAAGCAAGGCCAATCCCACATCTTGTCAAAGGACTAAAACAAGTTTCTCTGGCTTTCAAACGGCAAGTGGACAAAGAGTTACATTCTCGGAAAAAGCACTTGAGAAAGGGGCAGCAATAATGCAGCAAATTGACAAATGTCTTGAAGAAAGCAAGGTCAATACCGCATCTTGTCAAAGGAGTAAAACAGTTTTCTCTGGCTTTCAAACGGCAAGCGGACGGAGTGTTGAACTTTCTAAAGAAGCACTTGATAAAGGTACGGTAATAATGAAGCAGATTGACAAATCTCTTGAATGGAGTACTAAAAGCAATGCTGTATCTTCACGACTGAGCAGAAGCGGTTTTATTTCTGAGTTTCAACCTGAAAGTAGACTGAGCGCTGAACAGTCTGGCGAAACTTTGGAGAAGGCAGCGAAGTTAGTGAATCTAACTGACAAAACATTTGGAGAGAAAGTTGACAAAGGTCAGCCTTGCACGACTAGTCGGTCTACTTTCTCTGGCTTTCAAACTGCGGCTGGTAAATCGGTACAAATCTCTGATTCGGCGCTTGCTAAGGCGAGAGAAACAATGGCTAGTATCGACAGTCATAATTGTTCAGTGTCTTCGAATTTAGGAAATCCTCCATTGCACACAGAACCCAAACGAAATAGTACAGCCCCAGCTGTTTCGTTTGAGGTGGAAGGTGTTGTTATGCCTTTACCAGTAGAGAGTCACCTTTCTGAGCATGACCAGGTCGTGACGCGTGAGGTGCTCGAAAGCTCCGAAGCTCTCCTTGCTGATGAATCATTTATGGATCTCTCGGAGTACCTTAATGAGAAGGAAGAGCGATCTGCTGCTGAGAGAAGTTCGTTTGACACGTCGGAAGCTGACGTTTCATTCGAGGAAAGAAGGACAGTTAAACGTCAATCAGGTAACCCTAACAGTAGCCACCATAGAATATCTTGTAAGCCCATTTTGTAAACCGAAACGGCGTTTTGTTCCTCACCTCGGCACTTACCAAAGCATTATATCCTGAACCCCTAGAAAGTGGTCATTACAATGCGAAGAGCTTGAAGGATCCTCTTCAGCTCTCTTATATCCTGACAAATTATTTATATGGTATCAGACATGCTACTATAGTACTATAATAGCAATTTAGATTGCAGCGCGCAGTAAACGTAAGAGGTTTAGACAAAATCCGCTTGACAGTAAGCTGTCAACCATAAAATTGAAATCATTGAGATACTGCAGGTGTGAAGAACAACTCCACTCGAAGTCTCAAGGCAATATGTTTTGCATTTTTCTTTGTATCCAGGAGTCGTGTTTGGTTCAAATCATAACCTAACGAGGCGTCACTCATCTCCAGTAAGTAACTGTCTTTCTGTAAGTTTTGAATCATTCGAAACAAAAAGAAAGAAAGCAAATACCCGTTTTAAAGTTTAAAACGGGTATTTGTTTTCTTTGTTTGTTTGTTTGTTTGTTTTTTTTTGCGATTTAATTATTAATAACAATAGTTCCACCAATAGGTAGACAGAACTTCCGGACGGTCAAAAAAATTGAGACTGTTTGGTAATCCTTTTACTTTACCAATACGTCTCTTGAATCTCAAGGTGATTTATTAACATTAGATGTACGTGAAAAAATTGGCAGGCGCGGTGTGAACAATATGATCGTCTCAATTTTTTACAGCACATTTTTGGTTGCATAGATACGGAGTACCTCTTCAGCTGAAAAATGCCAGTTTGGATTGGCCAAAATAAAGTTCTGCCCATGGGCAGATGGTAAACTACTAAGAAAAGTTAAAATTCAACCTGGTTTGTCCGTTCCGTGTGAACAGAGCGACCATATTAGGCGGTTCCATGTAAACGAAGTGTCCTATCAAATTATTCAGCTGATCGAAAATTCGTGCGGTGCCGCAGTGTGAAAGTACAGGGTTGGCACGCACCTTGAAAATCCTTGAAAGTCCTTGATTTTTAAAATAAAAATTCAAGGCCTTGAAAATTGCAGTCGGCGCTGGAAAGTCCTTGAATTTCAATGCTTATACCACTACATGAGAAATTTCTGCAATCTGATTGGCTTAGAGCAGTGGTATTTCAGCTTAATTTGAAATACCTACATCTGAAAATTACAAACCTTTTGCGGCTAGTGGTAAAAACAGATAATAGCATGATTTGTACGTGATATTTGGCAAAAATACCACTCGTGATATTTCAAAATTGTCTCAAATTTCACTCGCCTAACGGCTCGTGAAGTTAAGTATAACAATTTCGAAATATCACTCGTGGTATTTATGCAAAATATCACTACAAATCATGCTATTACCTTTACTAACTCAGTTTTAAAAAACTGAAGTTGATTTTTCCTATTTTAATACGGCATTAAAAATCTGCCGTTATCGACTGAGTTTCTAAAGCACATTGCCTATCCAGCATAAGAGATCCAAAGCTGACGTTTTATGCACCAGCCTTTCGTCTGCGGTATCCCTTCGGGCTCGCTTTGTAGAGGGGCAAGCCAAATGTCAGCTTTTGACTTTTATGTTAACGGTTTATCAACTCACTATTAACCCCAATTTTTATATTCCACCCCCTCCACCTCCCCAACCCCAAACCAACTACTGACGGCAGCAAATTTCTTTAAAAACAAGCCCTTGTTAGGGTAATAATGCGATGTCATTTTGTAGTGAAATTTCAGTTGCAGTGTACCGAAGGCATGTTCAGTTCACGAAATGGAATGAAACCTCGCACAACTACTCCGTCAGGTTAGTTTCAAAACGTACTTAAGCGATATTTGGGAAACTCGCTTTCAACTGGAAAGCTGCCTTAAAGTAAGAGACTGACTCATAACAGTAAATTGTAGTGGAACCACGGAGTGGAACAGCATAGAGTATGCAGTTTGTAATGTGTAACTGGTTTGGCATTGCTATGGTTCTTTTCAGGTGTTTTACACGATCGAAGGACAAGATCATTTAACACCCCCCTGCGGGCTCGGTTTGCCAGGGTCGATAACGTACAGAGTACGAGTACTCAAAGGTATTTCTCTGCTTTTATTACTACTCTTACTCCTAGTAGGGCCAAAGAAAAGCTCACAAAATCGTAAAATTTTCCTTCTAAAATTAGAAGAAATAAATATTACCATACAAAAGTTCTGCCTAAGAGGTTTTTAATTGAATGGTAACACTATGGGATTTCGTATACCTATGTAAAAGCTTTAGTGATAAATAATCTTGTTATTACGTAGTCCTGGATTGAATAGGTTAATAAGATCATGGTATTCCATCATCACTAGCGATTTGCGAAGGTTTATTAACTAAGTAAGGGTAATTTTTTTTTACTTCTTCATAGAATAAACAAGTTTACAGAAAACTGAAGAAATAAAAAGAAAAAAGGGCAAAAATAGTGAAACTAATATCTTGCCCTAATAGTTGGAAAAATAAATGGATTCTTAATTAACTGGATAAAGTGGTTCCACGGAGCTAAAAGCGCGCGGCCATCTTTGCTTCCCGCTGACCCGCATATATAAGAAAGTGTAAATGATCTTGTTAAGCCCTTAACCTCATCAACAATAGATGAGGTTGGGTGTAGGTGCTCTATAAGATGGTGGTGCCATGCGCAAAAGAGGTAAACCCAACGTATCTAAGGCAACCAGTGAGCGGCAACCACAGTGACTAACTAGATCAGTGGAAATAAAACACAGTACTCACTTACCTGGAAGGGAGGGAGGGACAGGGAAGAAATCAGCACAACAGAGCTTAGACGCAAAACACTCTTAATTGTGCAATGAAGACCAGCAATTTGATCGCTGTAAAGTCATCAAGTTCTTCAATTTCCGTGGGGTTTCCCCGCGGAACGTGAGCCTCTACAAAAGTACCCGCTGGCCAGCATTGTTTCGAGTTTAGCTTCTCATAAATTGCATTTAGCCATGAAAAAAGTATGAACAGACTGTTAGTGAACGCGGTATGGAGTATTTTAAAGACCTTTGTCAGGAACTAACTTTGGCATTTTGTTGTGGAAAATTTAGGGGCCACATTGACACAGAT